ATTTACTAAAATAAATAGTATTGCTCTATTTTATATTGAACCCACTTTTAAATTAAATGTTGCCAATGCATGAATTGTACTCTATTCGTTCTCATCTTAACCGTTTATATATATATATATATATATATATATATATATATATATATATATATATATATATATATATATTATTATTATTATTATTATTGAAAAATGAGAAAAATTTAATAAAAGGGGAAAACTAACTGGTTTCGCTCCCCCTCTTCGATGTTTTTAATCGTGAGATTCTTAAAAGGTTAAAATACAATAAATATATTTAGCGAATTGGGCAGAGAGGGAAAAAAATATATATATATATATATATATATATATATATATATATATATATAGTGGATACGCATGTTTGAATAGACGCTCCATTTTTTTGCTTTATTGCGATTTCCATGGAGAATGTTCAAATGAACTGCACGCCTCAGTTCCACATGTTTTAACCTTCACGGCTAAGACCTACCATTCCAAGCACATTGTGGCGAACCACCCCCATTCCTTTCATTTTCCGCTGGTAAGATGTAATTTCTACTCAAGCAGCTTCTCCTCAAAACCATTTCCTTGTGGAGCTGACTACCCAGTCACTAAAATGTTCAAATCTGGGATTAACCGTTATCTTCTATACATATTCGCATAAACTGTATCGCTTATTTTGTAACCCTCTATCTCGAGTGGCTCTCAGGCCTTGTACAATGTGAATACCAATGTAAAATCAAATAGTATATATATTTATTTTCGTCTATCGGACAGAATATTCGAGAAATCTTATTAAGAAAAAACTATGCACTCTTCGGCAAGATTTAAATCTGCGTCCTCCTTGGCAGGAGAAACCATCGTTAGATTCGTCGATAAGCAAAGTGGAATAGTGCCTTATAAACGATTGACGGCGCATCTTTTGCTTCGCACATCTACCTCATCCCTCTTTACCGTCTTTCCACGCTTACACTCTGCATCAGCTTCCTAAATCGGATGTGTGGACAAACTAAAGAGAACGGCTGCTTCTGGCAGGAAAACGCCCATAAAGCCTTTCCCTTTTTAAGCAGTGTGTACTTAAAGTATTAGGGTAGCCGTTCCAGATTATGGACGAGCTCGGTCTGAGGATGTGTGATTTCTATGGCCTTGAGTAAAGTACATCGATAATTTAGCGCCGATGATTTAGCAATCAGAGCACTTTCTAAGCATTTTCGTCCTAGTAACTTGCTTCCACTTTTAATTAAAGTAAACTTTATTCAAACCGAAATTATGGTAAGATTCATTGCAGTTCGCCACTAACTCACAGTGTTTTGTAAAATCTTTCTTTTGCATTCTTATATTTTATTTAAATCCCTCGAGGTCTCTCCTATCTGTTCCTTGTGGCAACCATTACAGGCTATAGAATAAATTCCTGCTTTACGTTTTAGGTTGTCTATTGTTTTACTTTGTATTAATTAAGTCTCTTATTTTTTAGAAGTACTTGTAACAAATTTTATGTCAACCTTAGATAAATTCATTTCAGTTGTAGTTGCCACGGATTTGGTAAGTAATGTAATGTATCTCGTTTTAATGTTTTTATCGTTCACTCTTTTACTTTTTAAAATTTGATGGGCTTTTTGTCCCGCGTTAAATATGAAATAATTATTGTATAGTTTGAGCTTCAAAATATTTTCATTGCTATCTATATAATGGATTAATTGTGTTTGGTCCATGGTGTTCTAAGCACATTTTTGTTGCTCCAAGTCTCTTCTTCATCTGTGAAGAGATTATCCAGCATTCACTTTCTTCAGCACTGATATTACATAACGGTTCAGTACTCTTTTCTTTGTTTCTAATTATATTTTTTGTTTGTTAATACTTTGCTTAGCCTACAATGTCTTAAAACAGACAAATTCTTTTGCTGTTTTAAAAGAAATGTATTATTTGAAACTGAAAGTATTAAATTAATTTACATTTTATTATCTCTTTATAAAAAAGAGGAAATAAAAACAATACAAGTGGATGAACCTTCTCTTAAAATTCATTCTGGATTTTGAATTTATAAAACTTAAAGGATGTTCATTTTTATTTTGCTAGAATAAAGCAAACAGGTTTTACTCAGATTATTTGAGGTGCTTCTTGTTGGTTTTAAAATATAATTTCTAAATTGTATTTCTGTTTATGGGAGAAAATGATATATAAACTTTATATATACCAGATGAATTGAAGGCAATTGAATGACAAAATAGGAAAAAAAATCCCAAATGTTGTGTTTCATCTTTCAAAAAGATTTCTTTAGACTAAATAATGTTTTTATTAATGGAATCATATATGTGTACGTTGGGGGGAAGGGGGTGCGAAATATGACAAATGGCAGTTAGAGTTAAACATCAAGAGAAAAGAAATGTTGAAAATGCAGGGATACTTAGCATTAAATTTAGATTTGAAATTTCTGATATTCAATGTGCATAGAGGCACAACCTAGTCAATTGCATTCAGCTTTCTACTACTTTTGATTTTTAAATACCTTACATTGTAATAGCAGTGATTTTGCTAAGAAAATCAATATGCTCTATGATATGTGATGTAAATTTATAATGGAAAACTCAGAAATTAGTGCACTTTCTGTGTATTTTCATTTTAATAAATTACATTCTCTTTTAATTAAAACTTTATTCTTAAAAGTTCAATTTGAAATTATGGTCACACTTATTAGAAATGAATGACAAATACATTGAGCATATTATTTTGTAAAAGATTCATTTTGTATTCATCTATTAATTTATTTAGATTCCTAGACGTTTCACTTATGCATTTCTTGGAACATTTTTTACATTCTATCTTATAAATTCCTGCTTCAGGTTTTAGATTGTTATTACTTTTTTGTATTAATGTATGTATTCTTTTAGAAGTATTTATAAATAATTTATCTGTTAAGTTTAAATAATCATTATTTTTAATTGTAAATCTAGTAGATTTAGTAGTTAGTGTAATGCATTTCGTTTCGTTAAGTCTGTATTAGTCATTATTTTATTTGTCTAAATTTGATGGGCTTTCTGTTTCGCTCAGTTCGATATTTAAATGAGTTATTTTCTTAACTTTATATCGTATAGTAGTTACTACTTGTTACTACAGGTTATTTATGATTCGTCGAGATCAAAAACGGACGGACAGACGGACAAACGTACACTGAGCTTCGTTTATGTAGAAGTATAATCAGTACATAAAAAATATGTTGGTCGTTTCGGTAAGATTATTTGGGTAGGATCAGATTGAAGAATTTTTATCTGTCATATTTATTCACTTTAGATTTTCGACCAGGTTGCATGAATTTTTAATATGTAAAAGGTTGGATTTTCTAAGAAGTGGTGTTAATATTTTTTATGATATACGCCAGTTTCAGTGGAGCGCTTCTTATACGTGATATGATAAGTTGCATTGGAATGCTTGCTTGTGTTAAGAAAGATTATAAACATTCAACATTCCCATATCTTCAGCTTTTCCCCTCGTTACATAATTATAACCAACGCTGACGTTTATATCTACTCCTCCCTCTACCATATATATATATATATATATATATATATATATATATATTTATGTGTGTCTATGTCTGTGTCTGTGTATGTGCGCATGTGTGTGAAAAGTGCGTGTATATAAATATAAACATATATATATGTGTGTGTCTGTGTGGGTGTAATATATATATATTATTTATACATTATATTCGCGGTACTTATTAGGAAGCGCTCAATATCAGAGATAGAGCTAACATGTTTGGTTGGATAGATGTGAGTTTGTGACCTGGGTTTCACGCTTTTGCGATCGTCAGACAAAGCGTAAAAAGCGTGAAACCAGGTCACACCTCCATCTATCCATAAATATATATATATATATATATATATATGTGTGTGTGTGTGTGTGTGTGTGTTTGTGTTTGTGTGTTTGTGTGCGTGCCTGTGTGTATTTAGGCAGCAAACCTTCTTTCATGCACATTTCATTGAATACGGCAGACAAGGTGCTTTGATTTACCTTTTTATACAATTTCTCATGTGAGCTAATATTTCTTTTTTTCTTTTCGGATGATAAATTATATAAAACAACTCCAGTTGACAATAGTAAAAGAAAAATAGATTAATTATAAATAATTGGAGAAATTTCGTAGAAAATATGCGTTTCTGACAGAAATCGAACCTGATTTCTATACGAAAAACGTCATTTGATCTGACGTACTAAACCACTCAGCTACGGAGAAGCGTCTGGTTAGCAAAGTTCAAATTACAGTTTTTAAACACACAATCTTGGACAATTTTTCCCGATCGATCATGTCTGCTCACGAAACTTATCTTAACGTAAACAACGACAAACATTTGAACTTTGTTTCCTATTGGAAAAATAGTTTCAGTTTACGAACTGGCTTCAGGAACTAATTTACTGTGTATATATGATGGACTCTCCCGTCGATTTCGATGTATGAGGTTCCGACAAACTTTTAATGACCCTCATGTTTGAATCTAGAGTGACATTTCAGACCTGCTAATGACTTGCAAAGAAAACCACAGATTGGGCAAGCGTGTGAGCAAAGAGGGTGCACTTCTCTGGCACCCTCTGAGGCTTTTTTCTTTTCTCTTGCTTCACGGAGCTTGACAACGCTTGCCGCCGAAAAATTCCTGATTCCAGTGTAAGTTACACTTTTCCAAGCTTTGCGATCCAAGGCAGTATTCTCCAAATCAGTGAGTGCAATATTTGCAGCTGCAAGGCTACTTTTCAGCTTATCTTTAAACCTGAGCAAGGGTCGACAAACATTCCGTTGACCACCTTCAAGCTGGCTGTACATGAGAATCTTTGGAATTCTACCATCTTGCATCCGCACAACATGACCGGCCCATCGTAACTGTGCCCTCATGAGGAAGCTCTCAATTCCGTCAATGTTACACAACGTTAGAAGGTCGGCATTGGATTTTTTGTTCTGCAGGGTTAGTCCACAGACTGCTCGGAGACATCCTTTGTGAAAGACAGAC